AGGTATGGTGGGAGAGCAAATTGAAGATATTGCCCAGCCAATATGAATTTTTCCCCTCCATAAGAATACCCCCGATTTTTAATTCACTTCCTATATTCCTAGCAATTGCAGTCATTTAAAAGTTCTCCTAAACTCTGATAAATATTGTTGAGGCATCCAAAGAAGGGGGGGGGGGAGAGTTTGCAAAGTTTACCTAGCAAATAGAGGAGTTCCAGTTGTTCAGGGATTTTCACTATTTCTTTCTTTGTAGTCCGGGAAATTGAGAGACTGAAGAAAAAGAATATTTGGATTGAGTAAGAATTCTGATTTGGTGGAAAGGCCTTCATTTTGCTCTCCTACGAACTACCCCCTGGCAAGRCTTGAGCAGTTGCAAGTAAAAGTTGAGCTGTTCCCCTTCCATTTTCAAAAAGACTGGGCTGCAATGGAGTTGTTGAAGTTCCTTTACTGACAATGTTGCAAATTGCTCCTGGTTGAAAGGATCAAGGCAGTGATATCTCTGGCCCATCTCCTGTTCGGATATCAGCCAGCATGCTAATGACTTAAATCAAGAAATAGTTTTCTAAGATCTACAGAGACGCTCACTGRAACACCTCAGCAAGCGAGAGTCCAAAAGTGGCAGGCTCAAACCCAGAACCTCAATCAACGGCTGATACCAAATAAGAGACTCCCTTCTGGGCACACAGAAAATTGGGCAGCTTGGAACGCATTGAACAGACTGCACTCTGGCACCATGAGATGCAGAGCCAACATTAAGAAATGGGGCTACAAAGTGGAGTCCACAATGTGCGAGTGTGGAGAAGAGCAAACCACAGACCACCTCTTACAATATAGTCTGTGCCCCACTACATGTACAATGGAGGACCTTCTCATAGCAACACCAGAGGCACTCCAAGTGGCCAGCTACTGATCAAAGGTCATTTAGTATAATGACAAGTTTTCAAACTTGGTGTGTGTGTGTGTTTTTTAATACAATGCAACTGTTTATTCTGATACGATAAATAAATACTGACAATGTCTGATGGCTGTTTTACACACATATAGTGGATGCTGCTGCCACTCTTAAATCAACAGCAGGAATCATCTGTGTAGGCAGGACTGGTTCTGTAGGAGTTTCTCTGATGTCCGTTTTACAACCAAGCCTGGGACATAAACAATTAGAAATATATTGTCGAAGGCTTTCATGGTTGGAATCACTGTGTTGCTGTGAATTTTTTCAGGCTGTATGGTCATGTTCTAGCAGCGTTCTCTCTCAAGAGAGAATGCTGCTAGAACATGGCCATACAGCCCGAAAAACTCAGAGCAACCCAAGTAGAAATATACTTCCCTGGTATGTACTCCCCACCACCACCAGATCCACACCAGGAATTAGCAATACTCCAGGGCCAGAGCGGGTGCTTCCAAAGTGTAGTATCTCTTTATGAGGAAGCCAGGTGTTGACATATGGGTAATAAGGATCCATTGGAGGTTTTGCAGTCATTAGCTGAAGTGGTTACAGATAAGGCATTAATTGTTCCTGGGAATGTTTGAATTGGAGTGAGGTGTGAATTTCACCTGAGGTCATCTGGGCTTCTCATTGCTATCCATGGATATCCACTTTGCAGTTTTCAGGGCCTTCTCTTGTAAATCAAATTCCCAGAACATGCCTTGTAAAACCACTTTAGGTCCCTGCTTCACATGGACATCAATGCTGTTCTTAGTAGCAGGGACCAATTTTGAAATGCAAGCACACCTGAGCAGAATTCTGAGGAATTTTGGGAATTGATTTTTTTTTTAAAAATTATTTATTTCCAAACTCTGTTCTAGTTATTTTCATCTTCATTGGAGACAGGTCTTTTGCAAAGCTGATGGCTCTTAGTTACACACTTAAGATTGCACAAGCCATCTCAAATACTTTGTGTTCTCATGGGGATAGCCCAGAACTATCTATTTGCTAGAGAAAGCCATCCCATTTTCTCAGCTGTTGCTGAGGTCTGCAGCACAGAGGGAAAGGAGATACTCTTTCCATCTCTGACTGCCAGTAGCCATCCTAAGCATATCGATACCTTGAGCCGGCGTTGTCCGTAGACACCTCCAAGGTCATGTGGCTGGCATGATTGCATGGAGCGCCATTACCTTCCTGCCAGAGCAGTACCTATTGATCTACTCACATTTGCATGTTTTTGTACTGCTAGGTTGACAGAAGCTGGGGCTGACAGAGGAAGCTCATGCCACTCCTTGGATTTGAACCTGTGGCCTTTTGGTCAAAAAGTTTAGCAGCTCAGCAGTTTAACCTATTGCACCACTGGGGTAACCTGAACTAGATAAAGTTAAATAAGGCTCCAGTTTAACTTCATTGAAATACATTATAGATGTCTACAATGACTGTATCATGCCACTTCAAACTGCATTGTATGACAGCATAGATGGGGCTTGTCATTTATCTGCTTAATTGTTCCACAACTATTGCATGGGGGAGTTTAATTGTTTTGATCTACTGTGCAGATTGATATTGTTATTTTCCATGTTCTGGATATGGGGCAGGAGATGTTATGTGGAATATATGCTTGGTGTTGTCATATTGCCATGCTGTGGAAAATCAATCCCAATTGAATTTCTGACTGCGATATATATATATATATATATATATATATATATATATATATGCCCAAATAGACAAGAGATTATCTATTGGATCCTAAGCATTACACACCACAAATATAGGATTTCAAGAATGCTATCACACTATACTATTATTATTATTATACACGATTATTCCATTTTTTAAAAAGTTTCACATCACAATACTGTTCTGGTTATTCCTATCACAATAACCAGAACAGTTCTAAATACAGGAATCGGGCAGGATGGGCTCCTTGGGTGTATGTATCTACACCAGTGGTTCTCAACTGTGGGTCCCCAGATGTTTTGGCCTTCAACTCCCAGAAATCCTAAAGCTGGTAAACTGGCTGGGATTTCTTGGAGTTGTAGGCCAAAATACTTGAGGACCCACAGGTTGAGAACCACTGTAGAATTAATGCTGTTTGACACCACTGCCGTGGCTCAATGCTATGGAATTCTAGAAGTTGTCATTTTACAAGGTCTTTAGACTTCTGAGCCAAAGAGTACTGAAGCCTCACCAAACTGCAGGATTTTATAGAATTGAGCCATGGCAGTTCAAGGGTTGTCAAACTGTATCAATTCTACAGTGTAGATGCCAGGACAGCATCCTCTGCAATTTTGGGATTTGTAGTTGAGGGAGAATTTAACGCTTGAGCCTTATTAAATGACAAACTCTAGAATTCCACAGGATGTTACCATGGCAGTTGAAGTGGAATAAAGTGCTTTAGGAGTGTAGTACAATCAGCAATTCATGCCCTGGCAGGCTGGATGGGGACAGGAGCAAGACATCAATTGGAATGCCCAAATGATCAGCTCTGGGTCTCGATCAAGAGAGAAAAGCAAGGTACCAAGGAATATATGTATATAATAACAGTCACAGTCAGACTTGGAACAGTCAGGCTTTCGCTTGCTGGAGCCAGCCTCCTTCCTTGCACTTTGGGCAGCCCAAGGGTTAAATCCAAGGGGGTGGTGGGGTGGATGAGGGGCGCTGGCTTGCGCCGGCCTGGGATAGGCGACTGGCGACAGTCTCCCATGGAGGCTCAGGTTTCAAGACCGCAAGGGGAGGTGTCAGAGCCACGTGGCTCCTTGGGAAGGAGATGTCAAAGCGACAGCTCCGCCGCCTGCCCCGCCTCAGCCTCCCTGAGCCACCAGGCGCCTCTCCAGGAGGGCTGGCAGCCAACCCACTCCCAGCGGGGGGGGGGGGGGGGGGGGGGGGGGGGGGAGGGGTGGCATGGGGGAGGCATTTCAGTCAGCCACATTGCCAAGCTAAACCAGTGCCTGGTCCTGCTGTCTCTCCTCGCCTTTCTAGAAACTTTTGGGAGATCCCTTCGTGTAAAATCAAACTGTTCTTTTAATAGTAATGTGCTCTGCCTGGATGTGAAATTAATGCAGTTCGACACAATTTTAACCGCTGTGGCTTAATACTATGGGATTGTAGAAGTTTACAAGGTATTGGACCTTCTCTCCTGAAAACTACCAAACTACACCAAGGATTCCATAGCACTGAGCCATGACAATTGGCATCAGACTGCATTCATTCTACAGTACAGAATACAGTATACAGGCAGGCTTTAAGGAGGGATGGCTGACTGGCTTTATTCCCTCCCTGCACCCAGAAAGCATCACTTTCGGGGTGTATCTACAGTTTAGAATGAATATAGCTTGACAGTAGTTTAACTACTGTGGTTCAATGCTACAGAATTATGGGAACCAGAGTTTGATGAGGCACCAGCACTCTGTGGCAGAGAAAGTTCTAATCTAAAGGTAAAGGTTTCCCCTTGACATTAACAGTCTCAATCTGTTCCCTGATGTTTTGGCCTTAGATTTCTGGGAGTTGTAGGCCAAAATACCTGGGGACCCACAGGTTGAGAACCACTACATTAAGTCGAGTTGTGTCTGGCTCTGGGGGGTGGTGCTCATCTCTATTTCTAAGCCCAAGAGCCAGCATTGTCCATAGATACGTCCAAGGTCATGTGCACTCCATGACTGCATGGAGTGCCATTTCCTTCCTGCAAAAGTGGTACATATTGATCTACTTACATTTGCATGTTTTCGAACTGCTAGGTTGACAGAAGCTGGGGCTTACAGCAGGAGCTCACCCCACTCCCCAGATTCGAACCACCAACCTTTCGGTCAGCAAGTTCAGCAGCTCAGCGGTTTAACCCGCCACACCACCCAAGGCTGCTAGTTCTAGTCTAGACCATATAAAACTATAACTCCTAAGATTCCATAGCATTGACCCATGGCAGTTAAAGTACTGTCAAATTACATTAATACTACACTGTGGATGCACCCAAGGAGGCTTGAACAGGTGATTCGTCCTAATACCAAACAGGGCCCCCTTTGGTGGCTTCTGTGGCAAGTGACTCCCAGGCCCAGACCAAACAAAAATCCACAGGGGCTTGGTTTAGTGGTCGATTTTAATTCCGAACTCAACTTTTTGACTACAGGGGAATGAATATAAAGAATAAATAGCAGACTCTCTTCCATTTACAGAGAATTAAAGACATTCCAAAACAAAACAAAAAATGGGAAAAAAGAGAAGTTCACTATATACAGTAACATTGTGTCCTAAGCTTTTTTATTATAATAACAACAATAATAATAACAATAATAATATTATCTTGGAAGTCCATAAAAAAATTCCACACGCGACTCAAGCACACATTTTCCGAAGAATGGAAAATATCTTAATCTCTTTATATATATAAAAGGGGTCTTTTTCTTACCAAAAGTTCACGCTTCTTTAAAAAAAACAAAAGAAAACAAAAAACAACCCTTCACAAACCAAGGGTTTATTGTCCTGGTGGACTGGAAATGTTCCCCCATAGTTCTTCTGTCCTGAAATATAAATTAAAGGGGAGGAAGGGAATGGGACAGTCCGAGGCGAATTCTTGTCCAAAATACAGTAGCCGAGGATGCTGCGACACTGACCAGTTCGAGAGGAAATCAAGAGGAGATGGTGGATTCGGCGACCTCCATCCACCCATGTGCAAGCACGCCCACAAACCCTTGCAAGCTTGCAAAGTTACATTCTTCTCTGCGGGACAAGAGGTGCATCACTATTGGATGGAGGCAGTTTGGCATCAGTTGGAACAGCCATAGCTCCAATGTTGTGGAATCTCGACAGCAGCAGGATGGGTCAATATCGGCTACAGAATGCAGTTTGAACTGCATTGTATGGTTAGTAGACCCATAGTAAGTGGGTCTACACCAGGAATGGGCAAACTTTGGTCCTCCAGGTGTTTAGGACTTCAAGTCCCACAATTCCTAACAGCTTCAGGCCCTTTCCTTTTCCCACTCAGTCATTTAAGGTGTTCAGGACTCCAACTCCCACAATTCCTAACAGCCTCAAGCCCATTTCCCTCCTCAGCTGTTTAAGCGGGAAAAGGAAATAGTCTGGGGCTGCTAGGAATGGTGGGAGTTTGAGTTCAAAACACCTTAAGATGCTGAAGGGGGAAAGGAAAGGGCCTGAGGTTTTTTTTTTTTTTTAGAAATGGTGGGAATTGGAGTCCAAAACACCTGAAGCAGCTGAGGAGGAAAAGGAAAGGGTCTGAGGCTGTAAGGAATGGTGGGTGTTGGAGTCCAAACACCTGAAGCGGCTGAGGGGGAAAAGGAAAGGTCCCAAGGCTGTAAGAATGGTGGGAGTTGGAGTCCAAAACACCTTATAAGGCTGAAGGGGAAAAGAAAGGACCTTAGGCTGTTAGGAATGGTGGGAGTTGAAGTTTAGGTGGCTGAGGGGGAAAAGGAAAGGGCTTGAGGCTGTAGGAATGGTGGGATTTGGAGTCCAAAACACTTTTAAGTGGCTGAGGGGGAAAGGAATGGGCCTGAGGTTAGGAATGGTGGGAATTGGAGTCCAAAACACCTGGAGCAGTTGAGGGGGGAAAGGAATGGGCCTGAGGTGGTAAGGAATGGTGGGAGTGGGAGTCCAAAACATCCAGCGGGAGGGCCAAAGTTTACCCATGCCTGATCCTCACCACCACATAATGCAGTTCAAATTGTGTAGTCTAGACCCATGGCCAGTGTAGGTGCAGCTGAACTAGGAGCCTTGCCCACCTGCCTCCAATCCCAGTGGAGCCTTCTTTCCCAAGCCAAGGTGTCCCTCTCTCTCTCCGAAGCGCAGGGGAGTCCCTGAATGGTCTCCGGGGCCTGTGGGTGGGTGTGCGAGGTGGGGAGGGGAGGGGGGTGCCCTCCCCCGTTGCCCCCTCCTAGCAGGAGCACTTGCACTCGGAGATGATGGGGTACTGGATGGGGATCCAGGCGCAGCGCTGTCCGCCCCTCCGCTGGCAGCGCCACCTGAGGATGGTGAGGTGGGCGGACTTGGCGGGCTTGCAGAGCATGCCCTCGGGCACGGAGCAGGAGCGCTTGCTGAAGCAGCTGCCCACCTTGACGTAGCGCGGCCAGAAGCGGCTGCCCAGGTCGTTCCAGGTGTAGAGGACCGGGCAGAAGGTCTGCGACCAGAGCCAGAGCTGCAGCTTCCTCCGCAGCTTCTTGCTCAGCCGGTGGTGCTTCTTGCCCGAGGCCTGGGCGCCCCCTCCCCCTCCCGCTCCTCCGGCGGCGGCGGAGTCGTAGAAGTCCAGGCCCTTGATCTCCCCGGGCATGGCTCCCGAGGGGCGCTGCCGGAGGAGGAGGTCCATCTCGGCCAAGTCCTCGCTCCCTCCTCCGTGGTGGTGGCGCTCCTCGGGGGGCAGCGAGGCCGCCATGAAAGCCGGGTCGAAGTGGCTGCCCAGGAGGCCCCGGAGCAGGGTGTCGTTGAGGTCCTTCTCCTTGGGGTCGAAGAGCGGGTCCGGGTGCTCGATGAGGTCCACCAAGGGCAGGTTGTCGCTGGGCGCGGGGCGGATGTGCAGGTAGTGCTGGCAGTGGCCTCGCTCCGCCCGCAGCGCCACCAGCGCCACCAGCGCGTACAGGGCCACCAGCCACGGCGGAGGAGGGGCCGCCTCCATCCTGGACAGCAGAAAGCGGGATAGAAGAGGAGAAGGTGGGCACGGCGGGGCGCCTTCACCCGGAGGAGGCCGCCAAGGGCATGCCCAAGGCCCCCAGCATCCCAGGAAAGGCGCGCTCTCGCCCTCTTCGTCCCAAGCCGGGGGCAAGCCCTCTCTCCTCCTCCTCGGGGCTCCCTCCAAGGTCCTGCAACGAGCCTCCGTCCGCCGGCACCAGCGAGTCTGCTCCGCTCCAAGATCCCCTCGCCTTTAAATTTCCTGCGCTTGCAGCTCCATCGCTATGGAAACCGACGACTCCAGAAGGAGAAAAGAGATGGGAGGATGGGAAGGGAACCCTCTCCTCTCTCTCTCTCTCTCTCACGAGCAAAGTCCTGCTCCTTCCGCTCTGTTTGGCATTGACTGGGAAAGCGTTGCTGCTTCTTTCTCGTGCTCTGCTCAGCTCCACGCCTGGGGCATCCCTCGCTCCAAGTTTTCCCCCGAGCCCTTGGGAGGTCGCTTTTATAGCACCCCAGCGCGCGAGCTCCTTCCCAGCCGGTCCTTGCAACCTTGCAGCGCGTCTCCTCCTCGCTCCATGTGCGCGCCCTGCCTGCCTTCGCTCACTGCCTCCTCCTCTTTCTCCCGCCCTCTCTCTCTCTCTTGTCTCCTCCCCCCTCCCCGCTCGCCCGGCTACCTGCCTTTATTTGAGCGGCTCCACACAGGCACACTCCCCGCGCCGTGATGTAAGAAGTCAGCCTGGCGTCCGGCCGGAGAAGTTCTCCTCCTGCAGGCAGGCAAGGCGCCTCCTCGGCTCGGGAAGCGGAGCGAGCGAGCGAGGGAGGGAGGGAGGGAGGGAGGACGGAGCAGCGCGCCCTCTGCTGGAAAGAGCCCCGCAAGGCAGGCCTCTCCCTTTGCCAGGCTCTGACATGCACGCAGAATGGATAGGAAGCCCCCAAGTTTATTTACTACTACCTTGAGGACCCGGCGGTGCCCGGTTTATTTGAGAAAAGCATTGAGTGCCAAGGTTGGCACACAGAAGCCCCATGATCCACTCTACATCCTGGTGCAATTTGAAGGAGGATGCACCACGGATGATGGCACTTGAAGTACCTCCACTTACTACCCGAGACCACTGCAACCCTCATCCAATGATCAGTTATTTATGTGGCTCACAGTGGTCTCAGAAAGCGAGTGATGGTACTGCAAGTCCCATCATCCATAGTTCGTCCTCCTCCAAACCGCACCAGAATGTTGAGTTGGCCATAGTGGTGCTCTGCGCCAAGGTTGGTCTTTATCAGTTATTTATGTGGCTCGCAGTGGTCTCTGGAAGTTAGTGAAGGTACTGCAAGTCTCATCATCCATGGTCCATCCTGCTCAAAAATGCACCAGGATGTACAATGGGTCATGGGGGCTCTGTGTGCCAAGTTTGGTCTTGATCAGACATTGGATGAGGGTTGCAGTGGTCTCAGAAAGTGAGTGAAGGTACTGCAAGTCCCATCATCCGTAGTTCATCCTCCCCCAAAGCACACCAGAATGTTGAGTTGGCCATGGGGGCTCTCTGTGCCAAGTTTGGTCTTTATTGGTAATTGCATGAGTGTCGGTGTGGTCTCAGCAAGTGAGTGAAGGCACTGTGAGTCCCATCATCTATGGTCCATCCTCCTCCAAACAGCACTAGGATGTAGAGTGGGTCATGGGGGCTTTGTGCACCAAGTTTGGTCTTGATGAGGCATTGGATGAGGGTTACAGCAGTCTCGGGAAGTGAGTGAAGGTACTTCAAGTGCCATCATCCGTGGTGTATCCTCCTCGAAACCACACCAGGATGTAGAGAATAGCTGGCTCTACCATGGACATAGAATGCATAGGCAGCCCCCAAGTTCATTTACTATATTCATATTCCGTCTTTCTCACCCCTGGAGGGGACTCAAGGCAGTTAACAACATACCAAAATTCAATGCCAACATACATGTAAAAAGAAAGATCATAATAAGGATGCACTAACATGAAGTAAAATTAAATTAAACATGAGGCATAACATTTAAACATTAAAACAAAACATTAAAAACATCTTAATATAAATATTAAAATCACACGATCCAAAAATTGTATACTGTAACCGTTCTGATTGTCATTGCACATATTTCCTAATTGTTCTTTTCACTGCATTATTTTTTCTGGCCAAAGGCTTGTTCCCACATCCATGTTATCAGTAAATGTTTGGATTACTCAGAATTGGAAAAAAATTTAAGAAGTTGCAAGCATCCGACTTACAAAACCACTCATAGTTTAGAATGGGTGGGGTGGGGGGTGGGTGGGGGGCTTCTACACAGCCTTATATCCCAGAACATCAAGGCAGAAAATCCTACAATATCTGCTGAGAACTGGGATATAGGGCAGTGTGGACTCAGACAACCCAGTTCAAAGCAGGTATTGTGGTATTTTCTGCCTTGATATTCTGAGGGCCCTTCCACACAGCCCTATATTCCAGAATATCAAGGCAGAAAATCCCACATTATCTGAGTGTAGATTCAGATAACCCAGTTCAAAGCAGATATTGTGGGATTTTCTGCCTTGATATTCTGGGATATAGGGCTGTGTGGAAGGGCCCACAAGTGAGAGATATTTTACTCCCAGGAAGATAAATGCACCCCTGAAAGATTTACCATGGGGAAAAGGGGTCTCCACTGAAGCTTTATCACCAATCTTTGTTTCCACAGTCAAAATTTCCAAAATGCAATTATCACAGGGACAGAAAGTGGGGTTAAATCTTTTGAACAGGGGCACAGGTAGCAAAACAAACACCACGGGGTGTTCTCCTTTCTCTATGTGCCCTTCCATACAGCCCTATATCCCAGAATATCAAGGCAGAAAATACCACAGTATCTGAATGTGGACCCTGATAACCCAGTTCAAAGCAGATCTTGTGGGATTTTCTACCTTGATATTCTGGGATATAGGGCTGTGTGGAAGGGCCCTAACCCCACCCCCTTCTATATATGGCTGAAATTACACTTAAGAAACAGAACTGTTCCAGCTTACATGCAAATTCATCTTAAGAAGAGATCTGTAGAACCTATCTGGCTCATAACATGGGGACTGCCTGTATTTTGAAATGGATTGAACTGCATTATATGCTCAGTGGGTGACAGTAGAACCCTATATTGCAGTTTGAACTACATTAAATGGTCAGTGTTGAACACTTTGACTTGAGCTGCGTGATATAGTTGAATGTTCAGTGAAGAACGGTATCATGCAGTTTGGATTGCATAATAAGGTTCGACACCAGTGGTTCCCAACCTTTGGGCCTCCAGGTGTTTTGGGCTTCAGCTCCCACAGTTCCTAACAGCTAGTAAGCTGGCTGGGATTTCTGGGAATTGAAGTCCAAAACACCTGGAGGCCCAAAGGTTGGGAACCACTGTTCTACACTGACCATGTTACACTATGTAACATAATGTTTGTTTCTGGGTTATAAATGTCATTTCTTAATTGGTTTTATCATAAAAAAATGGAGAAAAGTTTATTAAACTGCAAAAACTCTGTTTTTACCAAACACCCTGCAGCACATTTTGCTATAGTTTTTCAATGACTATCTTATCGAGTCTCTACCTGTTCAACATAGTTTGAGGCAGCCACAAAAATGAAGTTTCTGGAGTATAATACCTACTTTCTAAGTAACTATTAAACCACAATAACACTTTCAAACCAGGAACAGAAAATACTTCAGATTTTGTTACATACTGTAATATAGTTCAAACGGCATTGTACAGTCAGTGTAGAACCAGACTAAGTTTGGGATTTTTCAAGGATGGAGAAGTAATGGAGTTCTTATACAAGCACTACTGGGAGGTCTTGGTGAAGCTCACACATCATATTTTGTCATTCCCAGTCTCCCCCATCCATGTTTCTTATTTTCTTCAATGAGAAACATAGGGTCTTTGGCATTTAGAAGGCTTCCCCCCTCCTTGCAGACGGCATTTCCAAAGGCCTGCCTGCCTGCCTGTGGAACACTCTTGGACACTGCTTGAACTGCCATAGCTCAATGATGTGGAATCTTGGAAGTTGCAAATTAAATAATGCATACATTTATTTCATGTGCTGCCTTTCTCCCAGAGCAGTAGCCAAAGTAGCTTTCAAATACTCTACATCTGAATACAGGCAGTCCCCAAGTAACAAACAAGATAGGTTCTGTAGGTTTGTTCTTAAGTTGAATTTGTGTGAAAGTGAGAACAGGTGCATTTTTAAGTGTAATTCTCTCTCTCCCTCCCTTGCTTGCTCGCTCACTTGCTTTGGATAGAAGCTAGATTGAACAAACAACAGATTGCGGTCTATGCCCTGTTCAGAAGATTTCCTCTCACTTCCTGCCACTGTGATAATTGAGTTTTGAAAAAAACTGGCTTGTTGTAGAGGCAAGGAGTGGTGGGAAACATACCTCACAACCTCTGAGGATGCCTGCCATAGATGCAGGTGAAACATCAGGAGAGAATGCTTCTAGAATAGGGCCATATAGCTCGAAAAACCTACAACAACCCAGTGATTCCGACCATGAAAGCCTTCGACAATACATTGGAGTGAAAGCTTCAATGGAGACACCTTTTCCCCATGATAATATGTCTTCCAGGAGTGAATTTTTCTTCTGAGAGGTAGATCTCTCTCACTTCCTTTGTCTCACCCCTGTTCTTAACTGTGAGTCGTTTGTAGCGTGGAGACTGCCTGTCATGGATAACACTTAAACTGCCATGGCTCAGGGCTATGCAAGCTGGAGTTTGGTGAGGCCGCAGCACTTTTTGGAAGAGAAGACTAAAGACCTTGTACAACTGCAACTCCATAGCATAGAATCATTATGGTTAAACTGCATTAATTATACAGCATAGTTGCACCCTAAGTTACAAAATGTAATACATTTTTTTTTTAAAAATTAAGATCATATAATATAATTGTCCTTCCAAATTTGCTGTTTTGATTTTTGCCAATTTGTTAATTCACATATTTAATTTTCTCTAGATCCATTTCTGTGGTCAGTTTCCAATAAAATTTGACTATAGAGTTGTGCTGGAAAATATAGACATTCCTAGAGAAGTGTTATCTCAGGTAAAAAAAAAAGAGAAAAGAAATGACTTCATTTACAGATTTTCACTTTCACAGGGATCCCGTGCCCCTAACCTAATGAATGTGGAGGATTGAGTGTAGATTTAGAAAACATACCAGAGTTATGAGATATATAAAACATGCCCAATAAAAAGCCACCTCAGCTTATATGTTAAAGGCTTTCTTAAATAAAAAAGTCTACCTGCTGGCAAATGCATAGCCAGCTGAGATGGGTGAGTGGGTTCAAACTGTACCCTGACTGTAACTTTCTTACAGCAGACGCCAGGTTTATAATATCCAGACTTTTTGAAGGTAACTAAAAGGTACAATGCAATGAAAAGGTAAGTTTCAGTTTGGAGAAGCATGAAAGGAAGACATAACATTAACATTCTAGGCTGTATCTTGGATCATCTGATACATCAGAATACACAGACCACAGCTTGCACAATTTACAATATTTCAGTTTAAAACCAGGACACATTTGGTCAGACCACATCAGCACGTGGTCATGATGGCAAATGCTGTCAACAAGAAGTATTGCACAAGTTAGGAGAAGATGCAGCAGTTTGCTTCTGTTTGAACCTGTGCAAGCCCTCCTCTTCTCTCGGCTGTTCTGAATTAATTGATGGCAAATAATTTTTGCACATTGCAACCAGTTCACAGTAATGGAAATGAGGTGAGGAGGAAGAGGGACATAGGAAAAGGAGGGAATATTTTAAAAGCAACCGAAAA